AGCCAGTGCCTGGGCATTGGGCAGGTGGGCCCTGCCCCACCTCAGATGGGCACAGCTGGCCTCCCTGTTAGTTCCGCCAAATTTCTCTCGCCCTGGGCCCTGCCCTGGCTGGTTCCTGCTCCAAAGGTGCCTCTCCAGCACAGCTCCAAGCCCACGTCCACATAAGTTTCATCACTGCGTGGCAGGATTGTGTCCTTCCAGCCCCTGCCAGCCATTCCCTGCCCTGCTGCCCGTTGGTGTCACTCGACACCCACTTCCCTAAGCCCTCGCTTTTCCCTGCTTGGCTCACAGGTATCTCCAGGAGTACGCGGCACTGGGCACGGGTGGTGGCATCTACCACTTCCGAGACCAGATCCTGTCAGGTGGTACTGAGGCCTTCTTTGTCCTCAACGCGGACGTGTGCTCAGAGTTCCCCTTGCAGGAGATGCTGGAGTTTTGGCAGCGCCACGGGGACGTGCATAGCTTTGTCATTCTGGGCACCACAGTGAGTGGCAGTGCTGGGGAGCAGAGGAGCAGCGGTGCTCTGCCATGGGGCTTGTTGAGAAGCCAGTTTTTTTGGCAAGGGGGGGGAGGGGGGGTGGGTCCCTGGGTGCGACCTCCAGGTCTCATCTGCTCCGCCATCGCTAACGTGTCCTCGCTCCGCAGGCCAACAGGACGCAGGCGCTGAATTACGGCTGCATTGTGGCGAACGCGGACACGCAGGAGGTACTGGAGGGCCTCGGGGAGCCGGGCATGGCCCGGACAGCGGGTGCTGCGCTGTCCGCGTGGGCGCACGTTCCCAGCGTGCCACAGAGGGGCGCGGGGGCTGCGCCCCGGGACTCTTCCCTCGCCTCCAGGTCCAGCACTATGTGGAGAAGCCCAGCACATTTGTCAGTGAGATCATTAACTGTGGCATCTACTTGTTCACACCTGCCATCTTCCAGCACATCGGTGAGGTCTTCCAAAGGAACCAGCAGGAGCTAGTGCTGTGAGTGCCTCTCTCTGTCCCACGTCCCTCCCACCCCACTGCTTCCCGGGGCTGTAGCGGCACACTCATCCTCCATTCTTTCTCTATCTTCTCTCCTTCTCTGCCATCACTCACTTGTTTCCTGGTCCTGCACCAGCTGTCCTTACCTTGGGTAAGTCTCCCTCTGTGTCTGCACTGGCT